AGGTTGCAAATTTGAAATTTAAAAATAAATGACAGATTGCAATGTATTATTATGAAATCTACCATGAAAAAAATCAGTGCGATTGTGGAAGATGCTCGGGATCGTCCAGATTAATAATTAGTTAATTTGTTTATAAGGCCATAACTTGTAAACTATACAACTTACCGATTCCAGATTTCGTGTGTGTGAGTTATTAGACAGTGATAAGGAATGAGAGGATGCGATGCCAAAACGTTCTGGTAATAATAACGCAGTTTATAAATGTTTAATTCAAAAGTGATAAATAAACTACTTTTCTGTTTATAACTTTTGATCTAATCAATATTTTTTGACGCTCGATGGCTAGTTTTGTAGGTCTTTTGAAGATGAAAAAAAAGTACTTTACTGTTTTGTCGTGGAAATTAACGGAAAAAAGTTATAAGCGAAAAACGTGAATTTACGTAAAAATTATACAATTAACCACCCTGTAAACAATCTTCACTACATTTTTATGACTGTGGAAACTAATATGTTATTGTACATAATATTCAGCATATACGAAGCTTCGTGTATTGCTCGAGTAACCTTTAATAATCGGAAAAACAATTGCAAATATATAAAAAGTCTATCTCTTTTTATTAAAAAAATGAAGGAAAATCTGCTTGTATACAAGTATCTTTTATCCTTTTAGGAAGTTGCAAAGGAACCAGTTCAGATCATTGGAAAAGAACATGTTGCTTCCTCTAACAAAACTGGCAACCATGTAAGTAGACTATCCAATTTTTCGCTTCCATAAGTAAAATGGTGGAATTTTTAAAAGAAAATTAACCCCCGTTTGAAGCTTTTGCCTGCACACGCTTAATCTCGTCTCCCTTATGCAAGTACTTTGATCTTGATAAATTATTCAACGCTTATCGTCATTCCGCTAAATCAGCAGCTTTATATTTTATGAAACAAGCGGGGAACTTCGGAAAAACCGATGTAAATCTTATACCCTCGCAAAATTGCAAGGTTCTATATCACTGATTTAGTGGAAAACGTTTTGCAGCATCGAATATTTCAATTTTCTACGATAATAATTTCCGTTTGTGTAGAAATCAATTACAACTTGTACGATTGCGCTGAAATCCGCGTAAACATTCGGGTAAATTGAAATGTTCTGGCGGTCCAAGCCTTTCCCTTGGCTTCTCTCATTACAAGACTTCTTCCGAACGCTGTTTTCTACATTTTAGTTGTTTTGATTGCAGCTACTTCGATCGCTTCGAGATGTGCGCTTCGGCCACGCACGTACGGGTATGCCTTCCCAAGGGGGACGGGATCTCCAGCCAGGAGCACATGCTCGACAACCCACTGCTTAGAACTTGGTAATACTCTCAACGGAAACTCATTACAGGTCATCAGAATCCATAAAGCACAAATAAATTGCATTTTTCACTCAAAAAATTAAAGACAATGCTCACGTTGGCCTCGAATATCACCTGATTTCAGTCCCATTGACCATTTTTAGTATCTCCACATAGGATTACTTTATCACGATTTTTAATACACACCCTTCTCAAAATATCATTTAAGTATTCAAAAAACTCGTTTTCATATTTATCTGGTGTCCTATACCTATATAAACATAATAGTTTAATAGTCTCATAATCTAATTTTATCTCAATACCAAAAATTTATAATATTTTTTCTTTACAGCAAGATTTCAAAAACTGCATTTCTTTTACATACATAGTTAAATAATCTTTAATATAAATAGCAGTACCACCATTTTTAAATTGTTTTCTACAAAAAAGGTTAAAATAACATAGTAGGAAGTGCAAAACAGCGTTGTCCGAGGGTAAGGAAAAACCGCTCGGGAATTCGCTCTTTTTGCATTAAATAGAAATTATTTTTACGGTAATTAAAAAAAAGAGAGAAATGACCTACGCCTCGTTATTATATAAAGTTAATTGTTAATTGAATATTGGACGTATCGGACTGGTATTTCAGAGACAATTAAAGAAAGGGTTAAACTTTTATTTTCATAAAGTTTTAAATTGATAGTTCATGTAATAAACGCGCTAGCAGCGGTAAAAGTTAACGTTAATGAACGGCCTGAACGCGAGAGAAGGAGCGCCAGGCCCGCGCACGCGCGTGAGCGCCGCCCTCGTCGCACGCGAGGTTTTTAACCGAGATTTTGAAACGTTCAAGTCAATGCCCCCTAGCGGCTAAACGAAACAACTTAGGATGGAGGCCAATTTATATAAATCAGCTTATTTTGATTAAATATTATAATTTTTCAACAGCGTTTGGGTTATGGGTGCCATAGGTTGCACAGGCAACATAATAGTCCTTCTGGGGCGTCTTTTCGCCCCTACCAACAACGTGGTCCACTCTCTATACTTGAGGAACCTCGCCCTGTCGGACTTGCTGATGGGGGTGTATCTCTTCATCATAGCCGCCGTGGACCAGCACTACAGGGGGGTGTACCTGAGGCACGAGTACAACTGGAGGCACAGCTATATGTGTAGTTTATGTGGTAAGCTCTTTAGGCCAGGAAATATAGAGTTGGACGCGACTTTTTGTTTCGGCAAGCTGAATTTTTCGCTATAGATCTATTGTACTCTATGTATGTATGTATGTATGTAGATACTATGTACAATAACATATTAGTTTCCACAGTCATTAAAATGGGGGGAAGATTGTTTACAGGGTGGTTAAGTACTTTTTTTTCGTCTTCAAAACATAAAAACATAAAACGACCACAGAAATGAGACCTATAAAACTATAGAACTTTTTAGAAATGAAAGAGAGTAATAAAAGCTCATTATGCTCAATATTTTTATATTATGTATTTTCCGTATAGATGAGGTCTACTTTTAACAAAACTTTGTGCGATCGGACTGTACTAAATTGTAGCAGGTAGCTAAAATTTAATCCCCGACAATCCGTCTTTGTCTATGCCGCTTCAATTTCTCGGTCCATTTCTCTTATAAGTAAACAATATAAAAACAGCATTTCAAAACATGAGGCTACTTTAAGCATCATAACCGGGTTAAGAGGGTTTTTAGTAATTCAAATAAAATTATTCAATATTATTATCAAAATATTTATTTAAATTTAATGAATAGACTTTTATTCCACACAAAAATATATGTATTTTGAAAATTCAAATTATGGTGAGTAAATGTAGTGTTGTATAAATGTACAATAAAGAAAATAAAAAAGTAGGTATATTAAAATTCATCCTCTGAATATTCTGATGAATTATCTTCGTCTCCTAGATTGATAACGATAGGTTCCACAGTAACGTCAATTAAATTATCGAGTTCCCACATTTTCTCCTCTTCTTTTTGTACATGATGTATACATCTTTGCCAGTTATCTGCAGTTACTCGTTCCAAGGAATTTTTTAACAAAATTTTCACGTCACTTAATTTAAACGTCGTATTATTTCGCGCTACATCTCCTTTTACCTGCGCCCAGACTAATTCGATTGGGTTAAGTTCACAGTGATAAGGTGGTAACCGTAGTACCGTTATTTGGCGATTTGTTGCCATTTCATCGATAACATATTTTTTCTGATCTTTATTAAGATTGACAAGTGTCAAAAGTTCCTTTTTCACCATATTTGTTTCAAAAGAAATGTTTTTTCCGGATAACCATTGAATTATATCGGCTTTCCTCCAAGCAGTCGTAGGCGTCCGCTCGGTCTGCCGTGAATGGTAACTGGCATTATCCATGACAATTACAGACCCCGGAGGAATAAGATCCAACATCTGTGTAAAATACTCTTCGAAAACATCTGCGTTCATGTCTTCGTGATAGTCACCTGTATTTTTAGATTCAAATAAAAGTAAACCGCCATCTACAAAACCACTGGCACTACCTATATGTGTCACTATTAATCTTCGCCCTTTACCTGAAGGTGCCTTGAACCCTGTTGAAAGTCCATCCAAAAATGCTTGTCGAAAACTTTTTACATTTTTATCTTGCCATACTTTTGTTACAGTATATCCCTCGTTGACCCAAGTTTCGTCTAGATAATAAATATTCCTCCCTTCGTCACGGAATTTTCTAATTGATCTTAAGTAGGATCTTCGCCAACAAATAATTTCATCTTTATCGATAAGAACTGACTTCCTGTTCTGCTTTTCCCAGCAAAAATTCAACTCTCGTAAGACGGCCCATAATTTGCTTCTACTGATTTTTGGCAAATCGTTGTCCTCTGAAAGTTCACTTAAAATTTTGTTTAGCGTTGGTATTTCTTTTTTAAAATAAAATGAGTGTACTTTTCTGCGAATGACATTTTTGAAGAAATCATCTATAACGACTTTTGACCTCCCTGTAGATGATTTTGGGGGATTTACAGTATCTTGTTCATTTTTTGTTTCCTTTAAAAGTCTGTAGATAGTCGATTTTCCAATCCCTGTCATTTTGGAACACTTTTCCACGATGTCGTCAACACTGTTGGTAGGATTTTGGTGTTTCAATGCATTAAATACATTTAATATAATAATCTTCTCATTCTGAGACAGCGCACATCTTTTCACGCGTTTAGCAGGTACGTAATCTGATAAGCTCGACATTTTACCCAAACAATATTATATCCACTGGCACAATAGTCACTAAACACAAGTCGAATTTTACTCTACTGCACTAGCACGTCTTCGTATATTCAGCTCTAAGACTGGATTGATCTGTCACAATACACTGGCTCCTGCCCTATGATGTATCCAGTAAAATATACTAATGTACACCCATTACCTGTTAGCATTAGTGTTACCCGATAATTACCTGAAACGAAATATTACCACGCCCATGGCCGGTTCTTATCTCGGGGTTTTATTATTCTCTTTCATTCCCAAGTTATGGCCTTATAAACAAATTAACTAATTATTAGTGTGGACGATCCCGAGGATCTTCCACAATCGCACTGATTTTTTCCATGGTAGATTTCATAATAATACAATGAAATCTATCATTTTTTTTAATTTCAAATTTGCAACCTGGAATGTTTTTTTATTTTTTAGCCTTAGCTGAAAAATGAAATATACGACGCACGAGCGTGATATAGTTATATTTTATTAAATATACGGAAAGCTTATGAAAAGAACTTTAAGTTAAAAAAAATATCGTCAAGTTTCGCTGAAAAACAACGGAGTTACCGACTATCAAAGTTGACGGACTATTGTTAAACAAATTAGGTTGGTAGCGACAAAAAAATTCTGTAATAACCGGCAACACGAGAAATTTTCCAGGTAAAAATATTTTATTTGTGGAAGTATGTAAGTAAGTATGCAGAGTTACAGTAGAATCCCTCTTAAAAGTTGATAAATTTGTACCACAAATATTCTTTTACAACGAAAATCCTCCCCGCAGGCTTCCTGAGCACGCTATCCTGCGAATCGTCGGTCCTTATCCTGTCCCTGGTCACCTGGGACAGATTCATCTCGGTCACTCAACCCCTAGCCAGAAACCAACCCTCTCCCAAGACGGCAGCGCTGACCCTTCTGGTGCTGTGGTGCATAGCAGCCATAGTGTCCCTAGCTCCGCTCAGCCACCTCGCCAGAAGCTACTTCGGCGACGAGTTCTACGGAAGCAACGGCGTCTGTCTGTCGTTGCACATCCACGACCCCTACGCCAAGGTGAGAGAAACAAAGGTTGGCCAATATCGAGCTGATTTGTATGTGCTGCTCTCAGGGTTGGGAGTATTCCGCGGCTATGTTCATCATGATCAACGCTTTGGCCTTGGTGTTTATTTCCTACGCGTACATGAGGATGATCAACGAGATCAGGGCCAGCGGGGTGGCGTGCAGATCCACCAGGCAGAGTCAGGATAGAGACAAGGTGGCGCAGAGGTTCGGAATCATCGTCTTCACGGACTCGCTGTGCTGGGTGCCCGTCATCGTGGTGAAAATTCTGGCTCTCTCTGGTACGTAGCGACAAAATTGAGCGTATTTGACGTGAGAAAATATGGCGTGTTTTGAAAAAAAGGTGAAGTTAGTTCGGAGGTTGGTACAGCTGCGAAAATGAAATGGTTTTTTCTATGGTCCATGGTACCATTGTCTGTCAAAGATGATTTTTTAAACAAAATTTGATTTAAACAAATTTGTTTTGGCCTTCATTTACGTAAAAACCAAAAAAAAAACATATAGTCCAGGCGGTAGAGCAGTAGAAGTAGGCTTTGGCGTTTGTGTTTGTAATCTATTTTGTTGTACATACAGAAGAATTCCAAATATTTTGTAGAATAAGATTCCGAGTTGGCCTATTCCAAAAAACCATTGCTAAATTCAGGGGAACAACAAACAGACAAGAGGAACGAAAAATGAGCCGTTTTTCGACATATTTTTCCCTGTAACATAGAAAGTAAGCTCTAAAAAAAGGTTTTTCTTTATTTCTTGTTTATTTGTCGATTTTCTATAGAGTTACAACAACTGCGAATCAAAAAAGTTGAATTTTGCATTAACAATGCACGAAAAATAGGTTTTTTTTTTCGCGAGTGTATATTGGTGAATACGTCTGACTTGTAGTTACTGTTTCTATCTCTTTTAATCTTATTTCTAACCTTGTCTAACCTGAAGAGATCGCGAAAATGTATTGTATATATGTAGTGGTGCAGCCTGTAATATGTACTTTGACGACTTTGACATATGGGTTCTAACTTCTAACCAGTAACCATAATTTCTCATCCATTATTGCTTCCAGTCCAGTAATCTAGTGTTGTGGGAATTGGTGTTATCTCGCTATATAATATATGTATTTGCTTCAAATAAAACTGATGCTTTCTTTGGAATATTTTTAAGTGGCAAATTTAAAAAGCGTGAAAGGTATGTAGATTCTGATGTTGCAGATATGCGAATATTCGACATAATCGTTATCGTAAGAGAATGGAATTTGAGCATTTATGTCAATGGCTACAAAACAGAAATTGTGACATGGCTCTATATTTTTTGATATTTTTGTGGAATGAGGATGATGATGTTCCTTATTTATGTTATAAGTTTAGAGAATCATATCATATATTCTCTATTCCAGATCCAGAAGAATGGTTAGAAGAATATAATGATATAGTATTTTTTCAGTTATTTCGATTGAAAAAACAGACATTTTGCAAATTACTAAATACCATTTTATCAAAAGATTCTTTTGGCCTAATACGGAAACCATACAGAGGAGGAAATATACCAGTACCTCCAGAAAAAGCATTGTTAATTTTTTTAATATATGTGTTTTTAAATTTTTTATAAAAAAAATTAAACTAGAAAGAGGTTAGGTCGGTTTTTTATGTAATTCATACGAAAAAGACCTGAATTACAAATGATTCCACTAATATTATCTCTGGCCTAGGTCACAAAAAAAAAGAGGATAATCCTGAAGCAAAGTGGATCGCAAATATGTCCCATATAAAAAATTAATCTTACCATTAAGTAAAATATTTGCTGTTTCAACGTCTACGTTTACTAAAACATCTGTACCTCTAAAGTTTAAATTTAAACTGACCACTTCCACAGCCGTATCAGAATCCATCATTTTGCTGAACGATTTTTATCCTCATTCAAACAAAATGTCAAAAAGAAAAAGGTTAAGTTACCGGCTGACAATTAGTTGAATATACCAACGGAATATTCAGCTGAAGGGTGAAGAGTTCAGTCATTTGATCTAAACTTGTGACGTCACATAGTGCTTTAAATGACTGAATATTCTCGCAAAAAAGTAATATTCACTCATACTACACATACTACAACATACTTCACTTCGCGAAAAAAAGCCTTATAGTAGAAAATCATATATATATTTCGAGCAATTTTTAAAATAAGTAGATATTTTTAAATATTGATGAAACTTTGTGAACAAATAGTAAAAGATATGTCAATTCTACCCTAAAAATTTTGCAACGATCGATTACGTAGTTTTCGATTGACAGGATTGTTAAATAAGAAAATTTCAAAAAGTTTATCACGTACCATGGGTTTAAATTAAGGTTTAGAAAGGGCACACAATTTTTTAGAGATACTTGTTGTCATAGTAAACAATGATCAATACCAAAACTACCTATTTTTACACTTTTATAACCATTTAGAATTTTTTTTTAAACTTTTCAACATCTCACTCTATAAACAATTATTTATTGCCCGGGGAATTTTCTATGCAATCGACAAAATCTTGCACACATAAAAACTACGTCGTAACCCCTTGCTTTCTAGCCAAATACGACAGCTTTCTACTGTGTAGATTCTGAGATATAGAAGCGTAAAGTTAATAATAATTTATATCTTATGTAATCGTGAAGTCGAGAAAAAAATAGGTTCTTATAGTATAATACTTTCAATATCCGTTTAGTGCATTTTCGGCAGATAAAAGATTAATGAAAGAAAAATCGAGAAAGGTAAAGGAAAATCGTGCTCACTGGAATTTCCCGGCAGAGCGGGAGTGGGGATGAATGAGAGCAGCTGTGCTGCCGTGCTGCCGCGCTGCTGCTTTTGTTTCAACGTATGCGTGATAAAAGATAACTTTTCTCGGTAACGTTAGCACATAAGATTAAACAATCAGAATTATATCTTGACGTGGTGGGGGTATTCGCGCAGATCTGTGCACGCACCCCCACTTTTGGTATGCGAACAAAGTGGTGTAGTTACAAGAGCATTTTAGCCATTTTATGAGCCTGTTCGTTGTTTGTTATCCTATGCGTTATGCATTGGCGTCGTTTTACATGTTATATTGTGTTTTATGTGTTGTGGTGTAAATAAATGATTGTTCGAGTGTGGTCCAATAGTGTGTCAAAGTTCAATATCTCCTTTATTATAAAGATTTGAAAAGAAATATTTTATGGGAGTGATGTACTTAAAAAAGTTCACATTTTAAAAATATTTTGATTTATATAGAGTAATGCATTATGGCGGAGCATCTTTAAGGTGGTTTTTCTTAAATGGAACACTGTATATTTTTACAAATTTGTATTCTACAGAAAATTCTATTTCCAGCGATGTCTTTGTTTTTTGTATTCGATTATGACAAGTTAGATACAAAATAAGATAATTTTCGCTGAGACAGGGTTCTGTAAATCTATCCACTGAAATTCTTTTCATTTTTCATTTTTTACCTTGTACTTATAAATTTCTGTTAATAAATATTAAAACCTGTGTAATTATTCAGTAGTTTTAACATTAAATAATTTCATTATTAACTTAAAAATAAAATAAATCTAAAATTCGCCTTTAAAAAACTTTTTCATGGAAATAACCACGTCTTTTGCATGTCACTGTCAATTTCTGCTGCACATAAATTCCTAGCTTTTTTGTTAGTACATCCCTGTTTAGTGCAATAAAATTTCACTGAATACAATCCTGACTTTCTATACCAAAAGTGGGGGATTTACGTCATTCAAGGTCACTGACAAATGACATCAGTGGTCAAAGGTGCCGACAACATGATATAATTATGATTGTTTAATCTTCTGTGACGTTAGCAATTATCAAGACGATTTTTTTTAATTTGATATAGCAAAATGAGAGGAATACGAACATGTCATCAAAAATCAATAAAATAAATAATTTTTACACGAATTTTGAGTTTAAAGAATGAATATGTGTTAAATGTTGAAAAATTTGAAAAAAATTCTAAATGGTTATAAAAGTGTAGAATCAGGTATTTAGTATTGATCATTGTTTATTATGACAAAAAGTATCTCTAAAAAATTGTGTGCCCTTTCTAAACCTTAATTTAAACCCACGGTACGCGATAAACTTTCTGAAATTTTCTTAATTAACAATCCTGCCAATCGAAAACCACGTAATTGATCGTTGCAAAATTTTTAGGGTAGAATTGACATAACGTTTACTATTTGTTCCCAAAGTTTTAACAATATTTATAAATATTTACTTATTTTAAAAATTGCTCCAAATATACATACGATTTTCTACTATTTTTCGCCCATTGTTAATGCAAAATTCAACTTTTTTGATTCGCAATTGTTGTAACTATAGAAAATCGAAAAATAAACAAATAATAAAGAATGACTTTTTTATTTAGGGCCTACTTTCAATGTTACAAGGAAACATATGTCGAAAAACGGGTAATTTTTTCGGTCTTTTGTATGTTTGTTGTTCCTCTGAATTTACCAATGGTTTTTTGGAATAGGCAAACTCGGCTTCTTATTCTACATAATATTTAGGATTTTTCTGTACAACAAAATAAATGACTTCAAACACAAACGCCTCGAATGGTCTACCGCCTGTACTAATAGACCTATGGCCCATAGAAAAAAATCAGAACCCGAATTCATGGCACCTTCTTTTCAAAACGCCCCGTACAATCAAAACCCTTCGCAGGCGTCGTCATTCCAGCAGATCTATACGCCTGGCTGGCCATATTCGTCCTGCCCATAAATTCTGCTCTGAATCCGGTGCTGTACACCCTCACGACCACAATTTTCAAGAAACAAGTAATGCCGCTATAAAATTTTACACCCCGGCACTTACATTTGTGTATATTTTAGGTGAGGAAGATCTTCCACTCGTGCCGTCAGAGAAAGAGAAACGAACATCATCACTCTGCCTCTGATTCGGGATTCAGTCTCAGCTTCGGGGTTTTCCCCATAGCTGGCAGCACTAGGAGGATCCTCAGTTACAGGGTGAGCACGAACAGGGGTTTTTAATACGCGTCCGAATTGTGGTTCGTGTTTTTTCAGGGTACGCAAAGCAGCAGTCTGACGGCTAGCAAGAACAGTTGGAAACGGTCAACGGCTGTTTGATAATAGGCTTAGTTTACGTTATTTGTGAATACAGTTTGTTTGATTATAAAGGTCCCGAGTTATAACTCGGTTATCCATTTTTGGACACCCTGTAAAGTAAATTCAGGGGGTGATAGTACGACAAAAAATGAAAATTTTTTGTCTTATGAACTATATGTCTATCTCCTCTTGTTTTCGAGATACAGAGCGACAAAATAAATTTTTTAAATAGAATTTTTACGAAAATTTCCAAACGGTGCGAAATATTTATATGAAATTTGGTGTTCCGGGGTTTTTAAGGACGCCAAATACGCTGGTCTAATTAGTTTTTGGATATTTCATAGAGGGCGCTAGTTACGCTACATTCCTATTACATTTTATGTTCTAATTTTTTTAAGGTTAGGTTTTTTACCATTCCGGCTCCAATTTCTAATGTACAATTTTATTTTCTAAAAATAATATACCCTTGTTAGAACTTCCTAATGTGGACAGTTTTCGAGAAAAGAGGCTTTTCATTGAACTCTTACAATATTACGATAAGTGACTTTTCTCAAAGTAGGCTTATGTCAAAACTTATTTATGGATGTCTCATAAACAACGCATACATTCTCAGTAATATTTTAAACACTAATAAATTAATATCAAGTGATTGTTAGTGACTGTAGTTAGTAATGACTAATTACAGTCATTAAAATCATGATATAACGTTAACTAATTAACTTTTTTTAAACTAAAATAGCGCATTTGGCATCCTTAAAAACCCCGGAAAACCAAATTTCATAAAACTATTTTGCGCCGTTATTTTCGTAAAAATTCTATTTAAAAAATTTTATTTTGTCGCTCTCTGTATCTCGAAAACAAGAGGAGATAGACATATGGTTCATAAGACAAAAAAAATCTTATTTTTTTGTCGTTGACCTGAATTTATCCTGAATTTACGGGAGGTCATTCTGAAACACCCTGTATATTTTTAAATGAGATGTTATTTTCTTTACATTTTTGGGGGTGACGTCATCGATATTTTTTTAAATGGGATTGCATAATTTTTTTTTGCACGTTTTGTTTAACCTTTTTTATCTTTTTTGTTTGTTTTTCCAGCGCCTTCTATTTGATATGATTTAGAAAGCGAGCACCGTAAACGAAAGTCAGAGGCTCAAAGTGTTCCCGGTTTTACTCAAAAATTCCTATATTCAAAGGCATAAAAATTTCATATGGTTGGAAAGAGAATAGAATAATAAATCAAAACGTGCAAAAAAGTTAAATAATCTCATTTAAAAAATATCGATGACGTCACCACTCATGTACAGTGTGTAGAAAAAAAGTTGTGTACGTCAGTATAGAGAAAATGACATCTCATTTAAAAATATATATAGGTACTTACTTTACAGGTTATCCAAAAACGGGTAACGAAATTAGCTCGGGGTCTTTATAATTAATCACACTATATATTTTTACCTCTTAGGTTTTTCTTGAACAAAAAACAAGGGGAAATACGTTTCTTTGTAAATAGTAGGTTTAATAGGTTGTAAATTTGTATACTTGTTTTTTACTATAGATTTAGGCTGTGTGTCTGTGATTTTGAAAATTTTGAATGTGCACAGTATTTTATAATAATGTTTTTGACTTTTCAAAAATTATTACATGCCAAACACGAACTATTTACCAAGCTTTATAAATGGGTACTTAATATTTATCAACTAAGGTGTATATCTTTCCATATAAATGTAATTTTTTAATAAAAAGTCGTAAATCGAAGTATTGTTATTATTTATTCGTCGCCACAAAGTTAAATAATTATTCCTCGTCCGGTGTAGAAAATCATTGCCACTCAGTACTTTACAGATTGAAAAGTTTAGACGTCGCCATCTATCGGTGTGAAACAGAAATTTCGAATAATTGCACTCCTTTTTAGCCATTTATTTATAAATATGTTCACCCTATTCATGAAGATTAAAACATTATTTCAAAATTCATTTACTAAATTCATATAAAAATACTTTTAAAATTATTCTTTAGTATTATAAAAATTGTTGGTAGGAGATAGCTCGCTCCATCTTCTGTGGTATCATTGAATCAATAAAGGAACATTTACAGGTCCCTTCTGTAGTATCCACATGAAAATAAAATTATCAGCTACAGATGGCGCTGCTAATTATAATTCAAACTATTGCAAAATCGCACACGTACTACTTCTGTATTGCAAATGTCAAGTCTAGATAATAAGATGGTAATTGTGATACCTTGTCAATTAAACAAACGTTATGAAGTTGACGTAAACTTTATTAAAAAAGGAAATAAANTGTCAGAGCCAACTTCGACCACGTTTTTATTTGAACGCTCGTTATTAAAATCAAAAGTTGCGTTGTGAAATTGGATTCTACTACTAAAACTGGCAAACACACTTTGTGGGACGTAATTCTATTAATATTTACTACTATAATCGTAGAGCAAGCAGTAGAGGCAGCGTCAGTATTGTTCTAGTTCAAGTTTTTCTTCCCAGTCTTGATTTTCTGTGAAAGATAAAATTCGACATATTCTTCAGATATTTTTTCGCTTATCCAACATCCAAAACGTTTCAAAATAGTGGCTGTAAATTTAAATTCCTTGGAAGGCAATTTTTACAAAAATTGTTTTGTTTTTACTATCGTCTTTCACAAGCCGCAACTTTATTATATTTAAGTAGTTTCTGACTCATAGCTGTCTAAAATCTAAGGCCGGGCACAAATGTAAGCTTCCAGTTATTGTTTTTGGTGTATATCCTTGTTATTGGTTGTTTAGTAAAAGGCCTGTTTTGCAGCCAATAAAAAAGGAGAGAAATATGCTTTTGAAAACGGCGTAACCGCTCCTACTTTGTCAATGTCCTTGCAGGCACAATTCCTGTAATATTCGCAGACCTTCTATACTTATATCCCGCCATCTATGGTTGACATATTTACAAAATTTATTAGAGCTCGTTTGGGAACATAGCATTATCAGCACGTGAGAATGTACCACATAAATTATGACTAAGGGACAAAAGAAATTAAACTTTCAATTTTTTTTTTTAGTATATTTATTGCTTATTTTTTATTAATATTGTCAAGATACGATGATATTCTCTAGGTACCCTATCACTAATATAGATATTATCAGGATTCAAAATAGCTCGTGTTTTACAATTGTGATGAATTAATTGATATAGGCATAAGGGGAATGTCGTCGAAATGCTGATATAGCATCGCAATTGCATCTCAAGAGATTTCCTCTGCATTTTTTTCATCCCGCAACTGGTGGGTTTGTTTACGTTGTTCAAAGGGCTCCAGAAAAAGTACACGCATGGAAAAATCTCAGTGAACGTGCAGGAGAATGCTGCAGGGCGATTAATATGTTTTAAGTTATCATTGAAGAAGATCCAACAGCTAGTACTACAAAATCAACTGTATCACTATTATGTGCAGCCAGTTCAAACCTTAATGCCTGAAAATCGCTCTACGTAGGCTACAATGGGCCAATATCATGGCCTCCAAGGTCGCCAGATTTTCATCCATGCGATTTTTGCTTGCGGGGTTACGTGATACGCGAAGAGATAGCTCGTGCGAATGAAAGAAATGGAGGTAATTTCAGGCTGATCTAATTTATTTTTATTTTTAATAACGCCCTGTATAGAGGTACAATGTCTTAGTCGTTATCGATGTTATACATTTACTTGTCCAACGGTTGCAGTTTTGTTCTCAGGGTAGTTTTTAGTGATTAAAAGCAAATAATAACAAAGAAAATAACATTAAACAAGTAACTATTTATTAACACTTGCAACGAGCGTTCAAATAAAAACGTGGTCAAGTTGGTTCTGAAAATTTGGACGTAGGGCGTAGCGTATAGCAAATGAACTTAAACGTCATCTGTCAAAGCGCTATATCGCCGCTATCAATTTGAATATTTTCGTTTTAAAAAGCGTTTAAAATGGTGTTTTCTCAAGAACAAAAAGTGTTTATCATAGAGTCCTACTTTAGAAATGGACGCAAGATTGATGGAATATGGAAGTATTCTATTGAGGAATGTTTCATAGAATTTCAAAATCAATTTCCCGGCGTTGTTGAGTACAAAATTTTTCAAAGTGCAGTTCAGCGTTGTGTTAATGTTTTTCGTGAAACGGGCAGTGTAACAAGAAAAGAAGGAAGCGGCCGACCTAAAAAGCGGACTGAAGAATTAAAAGAAAATGTCCAACAAATAATGGAAAATGCGCCAAGAACTTCTGTACGTGTTTTATCACAAATGGTGGGAGTATCAGTCGGTACCTGCCACACAGTGTTAAAAAAAGATTTGCGTTTGTTCTCCTATCGTTTAACTTGTCAGCAAGAACTTCATGAAGTTGATTTTCCGCGACGGGCTGTATTTTGTGAATGGTTTTTAAACAACTACGGTGAACTTCATAATATCACCTTTTTTTCTGATGAAGCCTGGTTTCATTTAAGTGGTTACGTAAACTCACAGAATATGAGAATGTGGTCTTCTGAAAAACCAGATAACTTTTTTGTCGAGGGCCCTCTACACGCTCAAAAAATTGGAGTTTGGTGTGCTCTCAATCGAAGGAGGATTTATGGACCTATTTTTTTTAATGGTACTCTTACTGCGCAAAGGTATAGAGAAGAAATTATCGCTCCTTTTGTTAACCAGCTGGAAGAAAACGAAATTACAAACTTTTACTTTCAACAAGATGGCGCAAGGGCACATACGGCAGGCGAGACGATGAATATGTTGAGGGAAGTTTTCCAAAATCGACTAATAAGTCTCAATGCTGAACATGAATTTCCACCGAGGTCATGTGATATTACGCCGTGTGATTTCTTTTTGTGGCCTTACCTTAAAAACACTATTTTTGAACTGCCTATTCCTGATTTAAACCATCTGCAGGCTCGACTTATAGACAAGATTCGTGAAATTAACAATACCCCGAGCATCTTAGAAAATGTCTTTAATTCTTTGAGGAACAGGTGTGAAAAGTGCTTGGAACAAGGAGGGGGACACTTTCAGCAGCTGCTTTAATTTATTGTTATAACAAGGAGGGGGACACTTTCCGCAGCTCCTTTAATTGTTTGTTATTGTTATCACGATTATTCTTTAAAATAAAGTTATATAGTCATTAACGTTATTGAAACTGACAGCTACTATACAGCTCGTTGAGAAATGAGGTTAAGTTGGTCGCTATAAGCTACTCCCTACGTCCAATGTGTCAGAGCCAACTTCGACCACGTTTTTATTTGAACGTTCGTTATTAAAATCAAAAGTTGCGTTGTGAAATTGGATTCTACTACTAAAACTGGCAAACACACTTTGTGGGACATAATTCTATTAATATTTACTACTATAATCGTAGAGCAAACAGTAGAGGCAGCGTCAGTATTGTTCTAGTTCAAGTTTTTCTTCCCAGTCTTGATTTTCTGTTGAAGATAAACTTCGACATATTCTTCAGATATTTTTTCGCTTTTCCAACATCCAAAACGTTTCAAAATAGTGGCTGTAAATTTAAATTCCTTGGAAGGCAATTTTTACAAAAATTGTTTTGTTTTTACTATCGTCTTTCACAAGCCGCAACTTTATTATATTTAAGTAGTTTCTGACTCATAGCTGTCTAAAACCTAAGGCCGGGCACAAATGTAAGCTTCCAGTTACTGTTTTTGGTGTATATCCTTGTTATTGGTTGTTTAGTAAAAGGCCTGTTTTGCAGCCAATAAAAAAGGAGAGAAATCTGCTTCTGAAAACGGCGTAACCGCTCCTACTTTGTCAATGTCATTGCAGGCACAATTCCTGTAATATTCACAGGCCTCCTGTATTTATATCCTGCCATCTATCGTTGACATATTTACAAAATTTATTAGAGCTCGTTTCGGAACAGCATTATCAACACGTGAGAATTTACCACACTAAATTATGACTCGGGAACAAAAGAAATTAAACTTTCAACTTTTTTAGTATATTTATTGCTTATTTTGTATTAATATTGTCAAGATACGATGACATTCTCTAGGTACCCTATCACTAATATAGGGATTTCCTCAATGATTCATATCGCGATACACATTTATAAAATTTTATTAACTTAATTTTTCGTAATGTTTATATCAAATAAACGAGACTAATTTGTCATTACCGTTACTCCTGGTCCTGGTGAATTGTAAACTCTGATACTCCCGAAATTAACCACATATGTCCAAGTAGCTAGTAAAAGCCCATACGGACTAGGGTTTCTGGTCGAGACTTCTCGAAGCGAGAATTCCCGGGGAATCTGGCCTTACTCGAGACAGAAAAAAGTGTCGAGAAATCGAGAAATCGAGAAATTTAAAAATCATGCGCGTCTTAAGTTCTTCAGTTCGTTTCTCGACAAATAACTGAGCGGTTAAAGTGGTTTCTCTACCAGCTCATGATTTATTTATTTTAAGTTTTTATGGCTTTAGTTTATTTCGATGTTTCCTTTTTTTTAATGTACAGGGTGATTCACTATATTTTGACCCCCTTTTAACTTTTTTGTTTTAAGAGTTATAAAAAAAATGTGAAATACAAAAGTTGCACGATTTTTTATGAAGTTTTTGAAAATGGTAGTAGAAAAACAAANAGAAAACTACGATTAAAAAACATTGAAATAAACATAAGTTTATTGAATGTGTTTAATAAAAAAACAAGTTAAAGGTATTTAAGAAGAATCTCAAATTTTAATTTAGTTTTGTTAGTAGAAGTACAAACATAAGTAATTAATAAAAATACTGAATAAATAATAAATGTTAATGATGATTGTTAAGTATAATAGCATGTTTATATTTCGCATTGCAATACCAAAATTATGACTTTTTCAAGTTTTAGAAATTTCTCGAGAATTCGAGAATTCCCGGGAATTCCTAGTCGAGAATTCTCGAGACCCGAGAAAAAAAATAGGCCGAGAAATCAAAAACCCTAATACGGACCCAATAAAAGCCATAAAACTATTCACTTGCGTACACAAACGATCCCATTCTCCACATTAGGAACATGTCGAAACTCCAAGCGAATCTAGTTACCTAAAAGCCAAAAACAATGGCTAATTACGTGACTCACTACGATTATTGTTTTAATTTGAATGCGTGTGGCGGAATTTTCAGAAACTTGAATGCATTATTCCTTAAAACAAACGATAATTGCCTTTTTTTAAGGAAACTAACGGTAGTTTTCGACCGCTGTCGCAATATAGGGAGTTCCTTTTTGCGTAGGTTACCATTTCCTGTCACAAACGACAACCACGTTCATTCTGATACGCAAAAGGACACACTACATGGTTGTTCAAGTAAAAAATATGCTGTTTTTAAACAGATAGCTTCTAAAATTGTTCGAGGTGCGTCGAAAATGAGCCCAAACTTTTAATAAAACCGACATAAAAATAAATGTGACCACTACACAGAAAATCGCAGTTGCCGCGCCCAGGAGAGCTTCCCGAAACATCCGAACGATTTCCACGACCTGCTTGCGCTAGATTCCATCGATTTTGCTACGAATGTCAAAGACACCGAATTTCAATCGCTGGGAAAGAGGGATCGGGCATTCCTTTCGCTTTCCGTGAGTCGATTTTTAAATTTCGACCCGGCAATGGTAATTTCTCGCTGCCGAAGTTCGTTAAACTGTCATTATATCAACGCGGTTAATTTAAGTAGTTGTTATGCCGGGGCGGCCGCCGCATGTCACTTGTGACAGGCGGGAGCGTGGGTACGTACCGTTGTGTGCGGCTTTTTTTCTCATAGGGAGCGTTTTGGAGCTTCGAATTCGATATTTCGATCAAGACAGCGTTGTATTCCTCGAAAATTATTTGTATTTTTATAAAAGCGTTAAAAAATATATTTCAGAAAGAAAATGCACAAGTACTAAAAATTATATCGAAAAGGATGTTATTGGGAATAAAATTTGTATTCAAAATTAGAAGTTGTTGAAGTCCTAACCTCAAAGTTTTTTATTGAAGCCAGTATTAACCCTCAAAGTCACACTAGTGCGAATTCGCACCACCGTTTTTTTTTTGAACAGCTGATTGAACAGTTCCCCCCACCACGATCATTTCTTCTATAGCCCAAATAGTCGAGTTGTCCCACGACTGGCCTCCTAAAAGCCCGATTGGTGCGAATTCGCACTAGTGTGACTAGTGTGGGCAAAAATATGGTTTATAAAATTTATATTATCATAATCCGTTGTCCAAAAAATAATAATTTGTTTAAAAAATAAAAAATATTTATTTACGTTTTTTTATGTATATTAAGCCAAAATAAACTTATTTTTTCAATATTTTGTTAGTTATTTAATTACGATTTAAATGTAAAATAAAAGTAAAAATTCACAAATTATTTTCAAATTATTATTTATTGTTAAAAGATTTAAAAAAGAATAAAAAGCATTTGAATTTATTGCAAAATTCTCAAAATTAAAAAATATTAATAAAAATAATGCGGTCGATAAAATTACAAGTTTAACTTCTTGAAATTTTAATATACAGGGGTCGGCATAAGTCAGGCAACCAATTTGCATTAAGAGCATTAATTTTTATTCTGAAAACGCGTCTACTCGACGAGCACGTGTTATCATGTTCATGACACAGACACAACTGTCAGAAGCACGAACATGCTTCGTTTTAATCTTTTTCGACAGCGTTACCAGACTTATGAGCGTTGCCGGACTTATGCCGATTTTTCGAGAGCGTTGCCTGACTTATGCCGACCCCTGTATAAAGTTTTTTTATTATATTTATTATAAATTAAAAAAAAATTGCAACATCAAAATTAATTCAAAAAATATTAATCACAACCATTTTTAATAATAGATATATTTTTATGAAAAAGTATGACAAAACCCTCAACGTGTCATAGGTTTTATAAAATTTTAACAATAAATGTGATAGTTATAAACAAATTAAAAGATGAGCACTTTTCTTGTTTTTTTGCAATAACTTTTTTGTTTATTAACCGATTTTAATTTAACAAGTCTCATTTTGTAGATAATTTTACTCCCTATAAGCTGTCACTTTTCGCAAAAATTGATGGTTTTCCCTGCAAAGTGAAAAAACTGTTTTCTTTGCTTATTTGTTTAAATGGAAAAGTTAGCTCACGAAATGAGAGATGTCTTGTATTAATTATGTTCCTTTGGACAATTTTACAATAATCTCGCGGATAAGACCATTTTCGAGTTTCTCTTTTATTTTCGCTAATTTTCCTGGTGTACTTGTTTATTTATTGTTAATAACTTTTCAAAAATTTTGCATTAAAAGTTTAATTCTAAGATGTATTTGTCAATATTTATGAATAATACTGTTTAAATTGATATTCTTATACAAAATAGTGCAAAATAAACATCAATTTACAGAAAAAGAGCCAAAAATCCCAACTTAAAAAATGCCTATATTCGATAATATGATTTTATCAATATGGGGTATTTTTTTCTTAAAAATATAGATTTTGAAGTTCAAAATCCTCTTTTTAATGTTTTCGCTAGCCATTGTTTATAAAAAAATTAAACGAATTAAGAAAAATCATTTTTCGAAAAACGTTTCTTTTTCAGTGGCATTTTTTAGTAACAATTTTTTTTACAAAACTAATTACATCATTCGATTTCTCGGAAAATTTTACCCCACTTTTGATATAAATACGTTGTTTTCGTTACCAAATAAGGAAGACATAAAGGTTCAAAGTTGGCAACATCCCAAATCGCACTAGTGTGACCTTGAAGGTGTCCCACTCCCTTTGAGGGTAAAAAATTGAGAGAATAACAACTTAAGCATGTTTTAAAAGCTAAACTTTAAGTGTAGCGTGCGCCTATGCGACAACATGATAAAACCAACCCCCTCAACCAGCCCCCCCCCCCACAATCTCCCTCGTCGCGTCTGGGCGGAACGCAAAGCTGCACTCGAAACTCATAAATCAACAGTCCCCATCCCCAGGATTCAGTCCTGCGCCGCGCCGCTCGATAAACAAGCGAGCATCTCCGTCTGGCCGACCCCCGAGCGAAGGGTTGAATCGAAACCGGCGTCCAGTCGCATCAGGCTGGGCCGCGCTGGTCGCGGACTGATCGCAGCGGCTGTGGACAGCTAAATCCGAGCTCGATTGTTTTAATCAAGTGCGCCTTGAGATCGGGACAGGCGAATGAGTCGTAATCGCCTACTACGAAAGAGGTCTCGTAGTCGGTGCTAGAGTCAGTACGGTAAGTCGTTTCGCACCGCGAAGATTAGACAAGTGAACCGCGAGTGCTGTGACGGGAATTTCGACGAGGCGGTAAAAGCGGTGGTTTCAAATCGGGGGTTTGTCGCAGACGGTGAGTTGCTTTGCCAGCTTTCGAAAGTTCCTGATACAAATTTTATTGGTTATTTAGGTACTTATTTGTCATATTGGTAGTTATTAACTAGCTTCGCGAGAGAATTTTTTTTAGTATATTTTTCAAAACGTTCATTTTTTAATAAACTTTTTTGGAACAACACTTTCACTTCATTTGAAAAGCCATTTTCATTTTTTTTTTTATTGAAAGTAAACTTATTGTAGGTTTGCATAAATTTAAAACAGCTCTAAAACTATTTGTTAAACAAAATAAAAATGTAAAGAATTTCTTGTCGGAGAGACAGCGTAAATGTTATATTTTTAGACATTTTTAATTTTCTGGGTAATAGAAAATGTTAAAATATACTTAAAAAACATCCTCCACAACGAAAAGTAAAAAAATCCTTACGCAGCAAGAGTTGCAACTGTGGGGTCCACAGCGCTCCATATTGGGGCCGTTTCTCACCCCTGTCTTTCATAAACGACTTCATATAATACACGAAAGCTTTGTCTTCAGGATTATTTTTGCAGTATATTTTTATTTTCTAGATTTTACAAAGGAAAGTGTTCTTTTTTTCAATCGATATCACATAATTTAAAAAAATACTCGATTCAAAGATCGTTTTTAAATCAATTTCTGGCTCTCCTTTTTTAATTATTCCAGTATATTTTCAATAAACATCGCATGACTAATGCTGTATAACATTTATTTATAAAACTGTATAGAAAAGAAGTAATTCCAATGAGTCATACTGATGATTTAAATTTAAAATCAATATTTTTAAATTTCATTTACAGGTTTACCATGGACAATTATTTTTTAAATTTAAAATGTCTCTAAAATTATGTTTTACTTTAAAAATGTAAATGAACTCTTGTTTTAAATACAATTTAAGTATCGTGTCAGTTAAAGTTAAAAAGAAACCGTTATCACAGAAACTTTTAATTATTTGGGGAAAGAAAATTTAAAAACAGATTTGGAAAACGCCTTATGCAATGAAAAGTCAAAAAATCATTACTCAGCAAGAGACTCGACTTTGGAGTTACACAGGGCTCCATATTGAGGCCGTTTATCACCCCTGTCTTTCATAAACGACTTCATGTAGTACAAGCATTATCTTCAGGATTATTTTTGCAGTTTATTTTTTATTTTCTAGATTTTACGAAGGAAACTGTTCTTTTTTACAATCGATATCACATAATTTAAAAAAATACGCGATTTCTGAATCAATTTTTGGCTCTCATTTTTGAATTATTCGAGTATATTTTCAATAAACATCGCATGACTAATGCTGTACTGATAATTTAAACTTAAATCAATATTTTTAAATTTTATTTACAGATTTATCATAGACAATTACTTTTTAAATTTAAAATGTCTAAAGTTATCTGCTTTACTTTAAAAATGTAAATGAACTTTTTCTTTAAATGCTATTTAAGTATCGTGTCAGTTAAAGTTAAAAAGAAACCATTATCACAGAAATTTTTAATTATTTGAGGAACAGTAAATTTAAAAATTATTTATGCAATGAAAAGCCAAAAAATCGTTACTCAGCAAGAGACTCAACTTTGGAGTTCCACAGGGGTCCATATTCGGGCTGTTTCGTTCCCTGTCTTTCATAAACGTCTTCATATTATACCTGAAATCATTGTGTTCCGGATTATTTTTGGAGTTTATTTTTTATTTTGTTGATTTTACGAAGAATGTCTGAAATTATCTGTTTTACTTTAAAAATGTAATTGAATTTTTTTTAAAATACAATTTAAGTATCGTCAATGTTAAAGTTAAAAAGAAACCGTTATCACAGAAATTTTAAATTATTTGAGGAACAAAAAACGCCTTATGCAATGAAAGATCAAAAATCGTTATTCAGCAGAAGACTCAATTTTGGTGTTCCACAGGGCTCCATATCCGGGCCGTTTCGTTCCCTATCTTTCACAAACGACTTCATATCGTACCTGAAAGCATTATGTTCACGATTGTATTTGCAATTTTTTTTTCTAGCTTTTATGAATTATGCTAAAAATTGTTCTTGTTTCCAATCAATATCACATAATTTAAAAAAATACACGGTTCAAAGATTAATTTTTGAATTATTCGAGTGTATTTTCAATAAACTTCGCATTACTAATGCTGTATAGGTATTTATAAAAATGTATAGGTAAGAATGAGTCATAATGATAATTTAAATTTAAAATCAATATTTTTAAATTTCATTTACAAATTTATTATATTTTATTTCGGATTTTTTAAAACACACCTATCGAAGAGAATTTTTGAAATATTACTATTTTTTTTAATTTAAATTGTCTAAAATTATTTGTTTGACATTAAAACATGTAAAGGAATATTTGTTTGAAGTACAATTTAAATATAGTGTTAGTCAAAGTTAAAAAAAATGTTATTACAGAAATCTTTAATTATTTGAGGAATAGAAAACATTAAACTATCTTTGAAGAACACCTGTGCAGTGAAAAGTCAAAAAATCGTTAACCAGTAAGAGTCTCAACTTCGGAGTTCCACAGGGCTCCATGTTCGGGCCGTTTCGTCCCCTCATTTTCATAAACGACTTCATATCCTGTTTGAAAGCATTGTGTTTAAAATTGTTATTGTAATTTTAAGTTTTTTAAAAAATATTCGGTTCAGATAGTTTTTGAATAATTTTTTTCATTTTCGGCATTTGTTTTTGAATAATTTATTTAATTATAAATTGTAAAAATAATGAAATGTATTTCTAGAGACTGTTTTGTCAAATTTTGACATTTTAAAATTGTAAAAGTTGTAGAGGGTGTTTTTGAAAGAGGGGTTTTAATTTTAACAACCTATTTATGTCATAGTGAAACAGTATAACACCTAAATTAACATCAACCCACCAAAAACAAACTGAAACATGCAACAGAAGCGAATATAAAAGCCAAAAAGAGACGACGTTAGAAATGAGAGCAAGCATTGATTTATTTCCGTGCGGTAGTCACAAAAATCACACTAAATTATCTATTCAGTTTCCCCTTTCGAAACCCTTTTTGTAATTTGTACTTTTTACCAGAACTCCTTGCGTTTTACATTAAATTAGATCATGGTTAATTTATTTGCCTTTCATAGAACTCTGATTAAATTTTTTTCACGCTCGCGTCACGACCGAGCGTTCTGCGGTTTTTCGGTTCATTCACCAGTGAATATATTATTTTTTCTACACGCAAAAAACAGTCAACACCGTCCCGTATTTTTTTCAGGTGTTATCGAAGTGATGCGCATGGTCCAAAACAGCCGAAAGTGCCCAATGTTATGTGCTTAACATAGAGAGACTCTCAGATTTATCGGTCTATCCCAGAATAAAGCTGTGATCCGCGTTTAGTTTGCCCAAAAATGAGTTCCGTGCTGTTGGAAGCCAGGCCTTTTAGGCCCTTCAAGTCCAGCGAAGAGTACCTGTACGCCATGAAGGAAGATCTGGCGGAATGGCTGCAAACCATGTACCCGCACCTCAACATAGCCGTGGAGAACTTCATGGAGAGGCTGGAGACGGGGGTGGCTCTATGCGAGGTGAGAATTTTTTTTTTAACTATTTAACTACATCGTAAAGTGAAAATGGGTAAAAAAATATAATACCCGTGTTTTTTCTTTTTTAATTTCGACCCCGTTTAAGTCCTGAACGAATTGAAATATGCGCTATGACGTCACAAAGCGGAAATTTCAAATGTAGTAACTTTTTATTCATTTTTTCCATTTTAATGGCAATAAAGGCGCATCAGCATAAACAAGACTAATTTCTAGCATCTGGTATGATAAAATAACATCTATTTGCAAGCTAAAAACGACAAAAATGCATAAAATTATGCTCGAAATTTCGTATAATATAGTAATTTCCTTAATTTCATACACGTGAAATAAAAATAGGTAAAAAAAATACGGGACCCGTGATTCTTCTTTTTTAATTTCGACCTCGTTTAGGTCCTGAACTAAATGAAATATGCGCTATGACGTCACAAAGCGGAAATTTCAAATGTAGTAACTTTTTATTAATTTTTTCCATTTTAATGTCAATAAAGGCACAAGACTAATTTCTAGCATCTGGTATGATAAAATAACATCTATTTGCAAGCTAAAAACGACTAAATGCAGAAAATTATGCTCGAAATTTCGTATAATATAGTAATTTCCTTAACTTCATACACGTGAAATAAAAATAGGTAAAAAAAATACGAGACCCGTGTTTTTTCTTTTTTAATTTCGACCTCGTTTAGGTTTTGAACGAAATGAAATATGCGCTATGACGTCACAAAGCGGAAATTTCAAATGTAGTAATTTTTTATTCATTTTTTCCATTTTAATGCAATAAAGGCGCATCAGCATAAACAAGACTAATTTCTAGCATCTGGTATGATAAAATAATATCTATTTGCAAGCTAAAAACGACAAAAATGCAAAAAATTATGCTTGAAATTTCGGATAATATAGTAATTCTCTTAATTTCATACACGTGAAATAAAAATAGGTAAAAAAAATATGAGACCCCTGATTATTCTTTTTTAATTTCGACCTCGTTTAGGTCCTGAACGAAATGAAATATGCGTTGTGACGTCACAAAGCGGAAATTTCAAATGTAGTAACTTCTTATTCATTTTTTCCATTTTAATGTCAATAAAGGCGCATCAGCATAAACAAGACTAATTTCTAGCATCTCGTATGATAAAATAACATCTATTTGCAAGCTAAAAACGACAAAATTACATAAAATTATGCTCGAAATTGCGGACAATATAGTGATTTTTTTAATTTTATACACGTGAAATAAAAATAGGTAAAAAAATATGAGACTCCTGTTTTTTCTTTTTTAATTTCGATCACTTTAAGTCCTGAACGAATTGAAATATGCGCTGTGACGTCATAATGCGGAAACTTCAAATGTAGTAATTTTTTATTAATTTTTTCCATTTTAATGGCAATAAAGTTGCATCAGCATAAACAACGCTAATACCTAGCATCTCTTGTGATAAAATAACATTATTTGTGAGTTAAATACAACAAAAATTCCTTCTCCAAAACTATATACGTGTAAAAAACGATCGTTTCCATGTTATTTGCATTTAAAATAAATCGTCCTGAACCACGACATACCTCTGATTTTTTTTGCATCGGAATGAAGTGAATTCGAATTAAATTTAAAAATAGATCCCTATCAATAAGCCTGATAAGTAGCGGTTATCCCGAGATAATTAAGTTATTAATTGTTTATATGTCATACGCATTGATTTTTAGATAAAAAATCTTCTCTACCTGTTGTGTCTCACGTAGATCCTAGCTTGGACGTCACGATGAACACACAAAAATAGAGTGTAAAATAGAATTACTTTTTGATGATTTCAATTCATTGAAATACATACGAGAATATTAATTAATATCTATAACTTAATATATTTTACAATTTATTTTGTCACTTTGTGAGAGATTTTTTTAGTGAAGCTTCATTTAAATACGAGACACCCATAAGAACTGGGACACCCCGTATAGTATTAAAATGTAAATTAATCAATTTGGTGCAACTTTTATTAGAAATATTTTTTGTAATGTCGGTATTATCAGAGCTATCAGTCTTAAATATGTTCAGTTGGTTAAAAAAGAAACAAAAAACTAATTTGAGCGCATGCAAATACCCTTTGGCGTGCAAACGCTCTTCGCATGTTACACCAGTCGTCATGGAGACTATTTTTAAACAATAGAATCACATAAGCACACATTTCAAGGCTTCTGCGACTATGTGCATCCAAACTGTTAAGTTACATCTGTGACAAGCTTAGAAACGACTTTTCCTGGTTTGTCGGCGGAATCAGAAACAGAATTAGAAAGGATACGTCGAAGTAGTCGGCTTCGTTGCATTTTTCGGCAGGTTTGTGACAACGAAACGTCTACTTTGATTAAGCAATGGAAGATAAACTTACGAATTGTCTAATTGACCTGGAATTTCTAGCGAATTATACGAAATGTGTAAATAAATCCGTTGCCGCACGTTCGGCGAGCAAAAAATTGGGTTTGCGCAAGGGTTTTGTGCAGAAATAGAAATCAAACTTGAGTAGAAATCGTCACTTCACTCTTCCGTTTCGGTGATCGGAGTGGGCCGCGCGAAATTACGTTCTTAGATAGCGGACGGAAAACAGTTTCTTTATTTCTTGGTTTAGAGAGATAATAATAATATATGTATGTAAAAACATGCGATGTAAGTAAAAGAAAGCTATCTTGGGAACAAAGAGGCGCAGGTGCTTTCTCTATTTTTAAAATTATCGGAAAAAGAAGCTCTATTTAATGCAAAAAGAGCGTATTCCCGAGCGGCTTTTGCCTGACACTGGGACAATTTATAACTTCACATGGATCATTAATAATTATAATAAATAGAAAAGGCCCTAAATTGGACCCCTGTGGCATTCCTGAAGTTGCAGCATAAGTTTTGAATTTAAAAACCACTATAATAAACATACTATAAAGTATTCTGTAAGTACGACATAAATATCTTTAGTAAAGCATATTTTAGTCCAATATAATCTAATTAATCTATTGATATGTAGTGATTTACCAGATCAAAATCTTTTTTAAATCGCTGTCAATTTGTAAAGAATTAATCAAACCTCATGAGACTTTCGGTTTGTAATTAAATACATTCCAGTATATTTAAATAAAAAAAATAAGAATCAGACTATGTCCAGACTTAATTTTTTTCTATCAGTGGGTTTGGCCAATCCTGCCTATTCCCATTTAACAATTATTCGAAAGGAATTAAACACAAGTCGAGGATTACAGACATGCCTACTGCGACAAAGCCAATACAAATTAGTTCTGTAACGGTACATTGTTTCGACAAAAACGAATCGACCCTCTGCGCACGTCGAACCGAATTCTAACGCTTCAAAAAATGTTCGATATCGCGTTTCTTGCGTACGATTATTTTTCCACTCGTATAAGTGAAAATACCGTTGTTCTAATTCCTCCACTTTTGCCAGATCGATGTCAATGCGCCCACCTCTTCCGCAACTCACCCTGTACGCAGCCTATCTTAGAACAAACCCACGGAGTAATCCAAAATGGAATGACAAGTTCTTTAGGCTGAGTCAGACCGCAATAATTCTCGCTGTAATTGAACGATCAGCGAGAAACCCAATGAATGTACGCTTGAAAGCGGTACTAGTTGTCGGCTTTTGGGTATTTACTCTCAAAAAGAATCCTTAATGGAAAATGTATGCCTTGAAAGGTGGAAATGGTGCAAAGGTTTTCTTGAAAACCAGAAAAGCAATACGCAGCAAGAGATTAGCCTTTGAAGTTCCTCAGGGCTCAATACTGGGGCCCTTCCTTTCACTGATTTCCATAAACGATCTCTTATAGCCCTTAAAGGATTAAAGTTACTATTTTTGGTTACGCTTTTATTATTTATCATGTTTTTTTCTGGTATATACCCTTTAATAAATCTTACAGTGTAAAAAATTAGCAAAATCTTGTATATTCGCCCATTTTATCGTGGTATCATCCAAATATATACCTTTTAATTAAGCTAATCATCGGCCTGCATAGAAACACACACGAGTAATCTCCCGTCAATATTTATTTATGTTAATACAAATAGAAAATTTGTAAATGTAAATCCTTACTGCCTAAGCAATACGCCAAGGTCGATGCCGTTCCAGTTACATTCTATTTGGCAACCAGTTACATAAGTAGCCGAAATAGTTTGCTAATAATGGTCTACCCAAAAAAATTGTCATTGTTCGAGTTGAATTTCATTGACTTAAACCGTTTTTTATATCGTTGAACTCTTCCTAGTGTAAAAAAATTGTCTTTTACAAAACACAACAGTCGAGTGTGATCATTATTCACCGAGCAATTCGTTCAATTTTAGATAATGTCAGTCAGTCGTACAGTTTTCGTGTACACTCGAAGAAATTGACAGTTGATGAAGATATAAGCGGTATCACTTGTTTGTTACATAAAAAAATCGCGTAGAACTAAACAAATACATTAACATCGAGCCGTTCAACGGTCAATAGCAGAGGAATGATCGCATAACTGGTACCTGACTTTACCGAGAAACAGTGGTGAAGTGATGTAAGACGAATCCTGCTAATTTTATTTTTACTCACTTACATAATCGTGCGATATGTCTGCCTCGTAAATACCAGTGACAAATCCAATCGTGCTGTTTCTATGACATTTAAAAATGATCGGGACCCAAAAGAAATGCGCAAGTTGGCTTGTACCCGAGGAAAAGTTTCTACACCGAGAAAAATGTTGCGCAAAGTGTAATAAAAATAATATTATGTCATTTATTTCTGAATTTGTATTTTTGGACACAAAGACACTCTTAAGAGCGTGAAGACATACATGATGTGTATCTGAACTGCCTACTAAGAACCGCTAATGAAGCATACAGTGAACAACAAACCGTCAATTACTTTGATTCGCAGTTTTTTTACGTAGAACTAACACGTCTGTCTTGTAACTGATTCAAGGTCATAAAAAATTTAATTTTAGCACTTTGCAGTGTGTTTTTAGTATTTACA